GATTACAGACTGCATGTTTTTACCTATTCAGTTAAATTTCCTGATCTTTTTTCTTCTGTACCCTTTCTTTCTCTAGAAAAGAGTTTCCCATTTGTGGGAAAATGGGAATTTTTTTCCAAATTTTGGGAAAACCTTAAAATGTTTGAAAGAAATGACATTGTAGAAATATTTTCTAAATTTATAGTTAATTGATATATTCATGTTCTAGAAAAAAGTCCTAAAAAGTCCTTAAAAAGTCCTCTTTCATCATTATAGTTATCTAATAATTTGAAAAGCACTCATTAGTATCCAGTGTAATCATAACAACAGGGTAGTAAGATATTGTTAATCCTGTACTCTGGATTTACTGCACAAATGAGCACAGAACCAATTTAAGAACAGTATTTATTACATGCAGGGAAGAATAAAAGTATCAAAGTCTACAGGCCATGAAGGAGTCTGTCACTGAGTTATTATAACTCTTGTGAAGACTGTTTCTGCTAAGGTAAGCAATAATGCTAAGCTTTATGCAAAAGTATTTTGAGCTTTATCTAGCATTTGCTGAACTGTCTCTTGGGTTTTAGTTTGGTCAGAAGTGTCGATTTTATATACAGGATTGTAGCAATTTACATGAAAGATATAATGAGCTGCTCTAAAGACCATAAGAAAAAGAAGGAAACAGTGAAATTTAATGGCAAATATGTGATTCTTAATACACTGTATTTAATTTTCAGATGAGTGATTCTACACAGTCATGTGAGGTATATCCTGACAGCCTTACGAGGCTCCTGAAGCTGCTGCATCCAAAAATCTGTCACTGAAAGATGGAGAATTTTTTGGAGGCTATTTTGGGTGAAGAGGGGGAGGAGTAGAAGGAAAACCCAAAGCTTTTCTAAAATCAAGAGGAGGCAGAATTTCAGAATAGCAGTCTTCCAAACAAGACTCTTCATGTATCTGTATAAATACTACTTAAACATGAAAAGTGGATATCACTGATGATTTTTTTTTTCTTTCTTTTACAAGAGATGGATTTAAAAACTACTATGACTAAAGCAACTGCAAGGTTGAAAACCATGTTTGCGTCAAGCAGCAATAATAACCACAAAATACTGTATTCAATGGATATATGTCTGTGATTATCTAAGAATAACAGCTTTCAAAATCTGTGCAAAATATCAGTCCGTATACTTGTTTGTAAAAAATGGCATCTAAAGAAATATTTCAACTTATTTTCCTTTTACTTACTAAAAAAATTCCATTGGAAGGAATTGCAAGTACTGTCTTCAGCTCCTTTATAAGGTTTCATTGCAAATCAATTCAAGGCCATCACTGGAGATTTCTCAGTTGAATTTCTTTCCTGTGAAATGATCACTAGACAGAGAGGTTATGAAAGCAGTTCTTAGGAATACCATTTTCTTATTATGATGGCTTTTGTCTTGCTATGTTACCACCTTGCAATAAGAATGATTCTGAGTTGGCATGTCCCCAAGTTTTTTTGAGCCACGTTATATGGATACATTGAGTGTAAGATGCCTAGCTCTTCTTTTCATGTTACCAGTGACAGCAACTACTATTTTAGGTGACTCCTATCTTTAAGACGTAGAGCCACGTGAAAAAAGACCACATAAGACTATCTGCTACTGAAGTGATATGTCTAAACCAAAGCCTTTTAAGTGATGAGCCTTAAAATCCTTGATAGTTGATACATTGTATGGATTTATTTTGTTACTACCCCTTTGAAGATCAACACCACGAAAGAAATGTAAAGTTGTTTGGATTTCATATCTATATTCTATGCAAGCTTCCCAGCCAGAAAACTTCCATGCTGGTGTTACAAATAGCATTAGAATTTGCCCCTTTAGGATTGAACTTGACTTGTATTAAACCCATTAAAAAGGACAATCATTTCTGGAAATATTCCTATATTGGAATAAATATTGATTTATTTAATTTCTTTAAAAGCTACATTTTTCATTACAATCTTACTCTCTCTGGAAGACCATTTTGGAAGCCAGAAATCTGTCTTTTTCTAATACAGAATGTATGCTCTGAAAAATATTTTTTCTTGAGATGTAGAATACTATTTCAAAAGTAATTTGATAGCTGAAGCTCCTAGAAAAAGTCCCTCACTATAGGTAATCACCCATAGTTAATGTGTGTGAAACTAGTTGAATGGCTCAATTTTTCATTTATAATCAATGACTGAAACTTAATTCTGTGCACTGAAAAGCAAGAAAATGTAAAATGATGAGGTTCAAAATGTGAGTCAATTTCTCTTAGACCAAGCAATTGATCAGTTTACCACCAGTACAAAATTCCAATCTGTTTTTGTCCAATCTCTTTTCATCAGTTTCCTTGTATCCTTTTGATCTGTTTGCATAACCCCAAAGTGTGACTTTGATCCATTACTGATTCCTAAACAGAAAACAATTAAATAAATTGAATCTATCAGCGGAAATTTTACTACATCAAAAATAGCAGTTTTGCTACATGTATTCTATTTTCTATAAAAACCTGTTTATTCATTTGCTGTATATGCAGCAACACAGGCTCTAATCCCTCAGTGAGCTGTGCTCTGGACAATTTATGTGCCTTACAGAGTACACTGTAAAATTAGACTAATGCAAAACGTCATCCTCATTGTAGTGATATTTTTAGGAAAGCAGCACATTAACTGTTAAGTTTCTGGTAGTGGCAGTGTAAGTGTGCTTTTGTGAGGTGTTTTCATTTAGTGCTATATGGCATTCTGTTGTGAAAGAAATACAGTACATTCTCAACGTATTGGTAGGCTACAAGCTCTAAAACATCTTAAAAAAAAATCACAAAGTAGGGAGCTTTTAGAGAGGGGTTATGCAGGGCCTGATACTTGGCCCAGTGTGTCCAGTAATTTTTAACTACCTGAAAATCAGTACAACACTAATCATAAAGTTACTGATGAGTCAGTACTATGAGGAATACGTAACTGTGAGGAAAGGTGTTGCTACCCCATCAGGCACCTAAGTACCACACAGTTGTTCACTCACTCCTCCCACAGTGGGACAGGGGAGAGAATTGAAAAGGTAAAAGTAAAAAAAATCATGGGTTAAGATAAAGACAGTTTATTAGGTAAAGCAAAATCTATGTGCACAAGCAAAGTGAAACAAGGAATTCATTTACTACTTCCCATTGGCAGGCAGGTGTTCAGCTGCTTCCAGGAAAGCAGATCCTCATCAAGCATAACTTACTAACTTAACATAAGTTACTTAGGAAGACAAAAGCCATTTCTCCAAATGTCCCCCCTTCTTTCACCCAGTCTTTTATTTCTGATTATAACTCCATTTGGTATGGGATATCCTTTTGGCCAGTTTGGGTCAGCTGTCCTGGTTGTGTGCCCTCCTAGCTCCTTGTGCATCCCCAGCCTCCTCACTTGCAGGGCAGCACAAGAAGTTGAAATGTCCATGAGTCTGTGCAAGTCAGCAACAACCAAAAACATTGGTGTGTTATCAACAGTGTTTTCATCAAAAATCCTAAAACACAGGAGCCTCTAAAAACATATGAGCCTCTAAGATGAAAGTTAATTCTATCCCAGACAAAATCAGGAGAAAAAGGCATACAAAGCAATCTGAATCACAACATCTACATTGTGTAGGATAGGGCCAGGCCCAGGTGTCAGGATTTTTCCTCTCTGAGTGGTATCTGTGTGGCAGGACTTTGTAGATCTGACAAAGTTAGTTTTAAAAGAACATGATGAAACTAGAGGAATTCAATAAGTATTTTACATACTATATATGTAAAATTAAATTAGACTTGAAAGGTTTGCTTCCATTTTTATAAACTTTCAGTATCATATAATCAAGTATATGAATCTTCTCAGGCTGACTAGTGAAATATTTGTGATCTCCATCAGTACATCGTGTTGTGTTTCCATCAGCACATCGTGTTGTGTAAACTTACAGAAATCTTACATGCATTCCAGAATGCTACTTCTAAAACTTGTGATGGATGGATGGATGTTCAGCAAAGCACATGTCAAATGGAAAAAAAAAAAAAAATGTGCATTTGATTGCAGCAGTTTCAGTACAGACATAATAATATAAGTCTTTGTTGTGCGCATGAATTGAGTAAAAATTACAGAGGAAATTGGATAGGTCTGAATCTGATTATTGGCAATCTTTTCTTGAATTAAGTAATAAATTTAAATAAAGAAGGGTAGTTTTGTTTGTTTTTAAGATAATTCCACTGTAATGCAGTTTAGTTCCATTTTGAACTCAACAGTGATTATGACATTTCTTTGCCTTTCTTTTTTATGTGTGTGTGTAACTGTAGATGTAGTAGAGACCGAAATTTTTAACTATAACTTTTTATGAATTAGCATAAAACTGATTTTCTATAAAATGATTTTTCTGACAAATTCCACAGTTTTATGAAACATTAATAAACGCAATCAGATTATTAAAGAACATCTTAGCCTGTTACAAAATAGAAAGGCTTTATTTGTGATAAGAAATTATCTATCCAGTTCCAAATGAAACAAGAACCATTTTTGAGGCTTTGTAAAAATTGGTTGGTAGTCACAGTATGGAGCTCTGCTATTGTTAATGGGCTCACTAAGAAGTTAAAAAATCATTTAACTGGAAACATTTTAAGCTTTTGATAAGAAATGACACGCCATTCTTCAGCTGTGATGTATTTGAATTGTGGTCCAGGAGGTAAGCAGTCAGTGGCTGATTAATCTGGTTATCCCACTGTTAAGAATTTTTTCATTTAAAAGTATTTTTAATGTTCTACAAATAAGATTTTTGTACTGCTCAGAATAAGTCAGCTAACAGATAAGGACAACTAGTGTAAAGGGCTAAATGAATTAACACAATAATTTCTCACCTGCTTGTTTAAAAATACTTTTCTTAAGGAATATAAAACCACACTAGCATGTTTTATTAAAATCTCTATGTTTTTAATAATCTAGTGAAAAGTGGATGTGAGCAGTGTCACTTACCACTCTGTAAAATTTAATCTATTTACTCTTTCTCTGTTTCTTTCAGCATTAAGAACGTCACTCCAAAAGTAGGTGATGCTGAAACTCGTAAAGCCATTCGCCGTGCCTTTGATGTGTGGCAGAATGTAACTCCTCTAACATTTGAAGAAGTTCCTTATATTGAATTAGAAAATGGCAAAAGGGACGTGGATATTACAATCATTTTTGCATCAGGTTTTCATGGAGACAGTTCTCCCTTTGACGGGGAGGGAGGATTTTTGGCCCATGCATATTTCCCTGGGCCAGGAATTGGGGGAGACACTCATTTTGACTCAGATGAGCCATGGACTTTGGGAAATCCTAATCATGATGGTAAGAGAAGATTTCAATTTAAACAAAATAATTAATATTAATTAAAGCATCTCATGAATTTTCAGCTATTTCCATGCTTCCCTGTCCTTAAGTCACATAGTTTTCTACCCTAAGTTTATGTTGCTTTAGAAATATCTTCAGTTAATCGGTCTATTAGGAATCTTCAACAGAAAGTTTCTGTCTAAATGTAACTTAGAGCGTGAAGAAGTGTTTCTCTTGAAACACATTAAATTCTTGTTAGGAACCCTTGTGTTAATTCAACCATTGTACTGATGAGTGTTTACATAAACAAGTTGCATTTTGTACTTGTTGGCCATAGGGATTTTATTTAGGTTTAGTGAAAATGGAATGTTCATTAGAAGTGATATGAGAGATTAAGAATGACTGATACTTCTCACCAATACCTATCTGTATAAAACCTAGTCTTCTGTTTTACTTAATGGTGATGCAATAGTAGCATTTAAAGTCAACTCATAAGGGTGCTATTCCAAGAACAGAATTAGTGCTTCCCAATAACTTTTGAACCTTTTTTTTGGAACTCATAAGAGAAAGCTGGGGAAGGACTCTTTAGCAAAGAAGGTAGTGATAGGACTAGGAGTAAGGGTTTAAAACTAGGAGTTAGATTTAGGTTAGATATTAGGAAGAAATTCCTTCCTCAGAGGGTGGTGAGGCACTGGCACTGGTTGCCCAGAGAAGCTGTGGATGGCCCCTGATGGTGTTCAGCGCCAGGTTTGATGGGTCTTTGAGCAACCTGGTCTAGAGGGAGGTCTCCCTGTCCATGGCAGGGAGTTTGGAACTAGACGATCATTAAGGTCCCTTACAGCCCAAACCATTCTGTGATTCGTAATTACTTATTTAAGTTGTAAATGCCTCAGAGTTAAAGAAGTGACTACAGTTGGTACATCTAAAATTTGCTCAGTGAAGACTACAGATATTCTTTAATGATACTATTTGCAGAAGAATAATATGGCCTTTGCTGAGCTCCAAGTTCATGTGATTAAATTACTGTTATTATCTAATAAACCTAATTTAAAGCTATCTCTGCAGAACAGTATCAAGGAAAAACTTTTTGTAGACTTATTGTGCATTTGCTGCAGTTGTCCTAGTAGATCTCTCTAACTCATTTCCATAGTTTGAGAGAGTCTCTTCAGCAAACAATGACATATAGAAGAAGACATACAGATGCACAAAGAGGATGCTATTGGTACACAAAAGATGATAAAGACGACAATTAAGTGCAAAACTGTTGTATTTGAATGTTAAACCAAATTTGTGAACAATTAAGGACTTTATTTAACTCATTTCTTTCCTCTCTTTTTCATCTTCCGAGTCTAATTCAGAGCTCTTTGTGTACCAGTATTTGTAGCCTTGTGCTTACAACAAAGTCTCAACTTAATAGTTCAGGGGTATAAATAGGATATTGTGATGATTCTGATGGGAAATACTTGCATTGTGTAAGGGTCAGTGAAGCAAGAACAGTATACTGCATTGTGGAGGCCTTTAGTAGCAGAATGGGTTCAAGAAGCTTATTTCCTATGGACTGAGCCCCAGATTCTTATTGAAGCAAAACATATTTCACTGCTTATATTTGCCCTCCACAAGCTCAGATCAAAGAAACAGCAGTGGGAGTCTTCTGTTTGTGCAGCTCAGGTAAATAGTCACAGCATTGTGAGGCTAAATGAAAGTGTTCTTATGGACTCTGTGGGAGACCAACACTGCACATAATGTTCTATCTTTTTTAAGTTATTACTTAAGCACACAGGAAAATCTACAGACGTGTATGTTGAAGGCAAGGTGTCAATTTAAAATGTGATAACTCCTTTGGAACAGTTCCACATATGGATACTTTTAGTCTCTATGAAAATGTGCGACCTTCTGGCTATCTTCTTCTACTTTAACTTAGATATTTTTCAGAGTGCAAAATGACATGCATTTCTTAATGTGTTTTCTTGTGGTTGTGTTTTGTAGAGTAGTTGTCAAGAGCTATTTCTTGTATTCACTCATTTTAAAATATCTTGAAGGAAAAAATTAAGTGAAAGTAAAATGATACTATCATTAAAACTGTGCTTTTTTGTATCTTAGAGGACTGACCTTTTATAAGAAAATTTTTGTTATCTATGTCATGAAGTGCCAACAGGTATCACAGGAAATATGTTTTGCAAGTGTAATAACATACTTTGATGTGCTCATATATCCTTTTTGAGGGAGTCAGATTTCTGTTAAAATGGGATAGTCAAGATAGAAAACCCACAATAGTTTATGACTGCAAAATTTCTGCAAAATACATTGAAATTAAAATAAATATCTTATCAATGTAAATGTTCTGAAGAATTTTGGCAAATTCTAGTTTCACTGTTGAAATTGTATGTACATTGGATCTTAGGTCATAGTTATTGTCTAAATGAAAGTATTACGTGATTGTCTGCCTAGAAATATCAACCTAAGTACAGTTGATATACGTACTCAGAGTTGCTATTTGTCCGTGACTTCCAGTTATCAGGTAGGCCTGTGCTGATGATCTTACTGCATTTGCTGATGATCTTACTGCATTAGCTTAGGTCTAGCAATCCTGAAGGAATGTCCGCATTTATGTTTTTGTTGTTGTTTTGTGACTGGAAAAAACATCCAGGTGGAAAAAGAAGACAAGCATGCCATTTGGGATTGACAGGAAGGAAAGACTTACAGCTCTCTTAGGCTCCCTATCATCTTGAGCTCAGTCTCAGAACACTGAAAAGCAGAAGGTTGAAAAATATATTTCTAATCTTAACCATGAGTCATTTTTCCTGGGCGAGTGTCATTTTTTTAAGCTTCATTGCTGCCATAGTCCTTCAATAGTCAACTCCATGTAATGTTGTTAGAAATCCAATACAAGGGTAAAAACCTTTGGTCATAAATTTTTGGTTTTGTTTTTGAATTAAATCTCACCCCGAATAATCTTTTTCTCTGATTGCAATTCTATTATTCCAGAGTGATTTGAAAACATAGATCAGTTTGCAAATTTAGCAGCAAAATGCAAGTCTTAGGTCCTCTTGAAAAGTACTAGCCTGATTTTCCACATTTTAGTGTTCTGCTAATGAAAACTGCTTGCCATACTCTCTAACTCAGAAAACACAAGCAACTCCTTGGAATGCTTTCAGGGACAGTTTTCCTTTTTAAATTATTATTTTTTAAATATATATATATATATTTAATGAGCACAAAACAAGAATATAAAGTATCATACACAAATTCAGTACTCATTACTTTATATTGACTAGTTAATAGCACTGTCCTCATACTTTGGGTGATTTGTTGTTACTGGTTTTTTTTTGTCATTTTCTTATCATGCTTTCTTGATTTTATTTTGTTTTGCTTGGTTTCAATAACGTTACAGACTGAGGGGTCGTTTTCAATAGAAACACATAATCTCTGCATCTTAGTGCTGCTTTCCATTGTTATCACTTCAGGGTCATTTTTTGTGGCTTGTACACCTATTTTAACAAGGTGGTGAAAAGGGTCTATGCTTTGAGGGGTCTGCACTTTTCCCTCATTCTGAGGAGCGAATAAGACTTTTGTAGGAGTAGAGACTAATGGGTCTGTTGCTCAGAAAACAAACAAACAAACAAACAAACAAAAACCACTCTGGTCACACAAATTAACACTTGCAGACTCTCTATAATGATCTTTTTATTTTTTTTTTTTTTTTTATTTTTTTTTTTTTTCTGGATACCCTATAAATTGAGTACAGCTGGTACCTTAACTCCAGCTAAACTGTAGGGAACTCTTCTCTGAATTTCCATTGTGCTGCTGGTGATTACAAACAATATTGGTTTTACCTTGCTGGGCTGCTGAACTTCACCGCAATTGCTCTCACGCCCCATCAAAAGAAGAGGATAAGAAAGTATTCTGGAAAGGAAAAAAAAAGAAGGGGGTGGGGGGGGAGCTCATGGGTTGAGAAAAAAAATTATTTTAATTATTTAATTCAAGGGAAAATAAAGAGGGAAAAAACAACAACAAAGACTGCTTGAAAGCACAGAGACACAGAGAGAGGGGAAAAAAATCTTTTTTTTCCTATTTCCCTGAAGAGAAATCCTATTTCCCTTCAACTGTTTGGCCACGTCCCGGGAAGCAGGGCCTCAATACACATAGCAGTTGTATGGGAGGACATCTTCATAGTGAGAGCCACCCTCCCCTTCCCCACCCCCCACCTCCTCCACCCCTTTTCCCCTTTCCTACCTTTTATTGCTGAGTGTGACACCACATGGCATGGAATATCCCCTTGGTCAGTTTAGGTCAGCTGCCCTGGTGATGCTCCCTCCACACCTCTAGCCCACTCCCAGTCTGCTGGTTGGGTTTTGGAGGGAGTCCTGATGTGGTGCCGGTATTGTGCAGCAATAGACACAACACTGGTGTAATACCAGTGCTGTTCTAGCTACAGGTGCAGAACACACCATTGTATGGGCTGCAGCAGGGAAAGTTTAGTTTGTTTAGTCTCAAGATTATTTTGGTAGCACTTTGCAACTGCAGTAGGAGAAGAGGATGGAAGAAACAAACATTGAAAGTGAAACACTAGTCAGGAACAGGAAATCAGAAAGGATGTGAAAATCACAGGAAAATATTTCACAAAGAGCACAGTTTAGATTAATAACAAGACAAACATATACATGTAAAATAAGGAAATAGAGGTCATACAGGATGGACAATTAGAGATGTAAACAACAATAAAAAAAAAAAAACAACAGATGAAAATAAGCAACGTCAACTGACATAAGTATTTATTTGAAAAATCAGTGTTTATTAAAAACAAACTTTTTTTTCTCTTAAATTTATATGCTGGAAAGAATAAGAAGGAAAAAAAGGAAAAGGAAAAAAATCTTAATATATCACTCTGGAGGCTAGGAGAAGATTTCATTGTACCTATGACTCCAATCCATTTAGGTGATATACATCACCTCATTTTTGGAGTGAAAAGTATTTAGACAACGAATGATGTATCCAGAAAAGGACAATGATGTCTTGCT